ATAAAGCCTTTAGTTTCTTTCTTTAACATCCTTGATCTTATCTAACTATATATGGGGTTTTAATCAGCTTTTCCTTCTATATCCTTTAAGCATTGACCATGCATTGACTTGTTCTTCCAATTAACAAATTGTTCAATTCTGTATTTTTATCTATGTTCAAACTTCACTTTTATTATTTTAAGAGCTTTCCTTGAATTACTATGTTCATCTAGTTTCTTCGCTTTTCTTAATTTAATCATTCAGGCCATGCTTTTCTTCCTCCATAGTTTGTTTCACCTATAGAAGTTCTCTAGCCCTTCGGCTCTTTGAAAATATAGTCAACAAATAGCATTTTTTGGGAGCAAAGTATGGTGTCTTATCATTAATTTTCTTGTCTTCCAATCCAAGTTATCAAATTCCATCTGAGTCCAGTCAACTATTCTTTCTATGTGGCAAACAACAAGAACTGCTTAGGTTTTAATTGCTTTCATGATATTTCCACAATTTAGTTTTAGTTTGAAAAGTTTATAAACTTGTTTGATGTTAGAATGGATAACATCATCATGATCATTTCTTTGACTTGATTGTGTAATAAATTGGACACTTCCAAAATTCTCAAATATTTGTAGCCTTCTTCTGGTGCTACCATCTTTATTAGATCTTCATTGTCAAGTTGCATTCATCGTGTTCACCAATTTTGCCTGTCTTTATGGCTATGGTTGCACACTTGTGGATGCTAAAGTTCATTCAAATATCTTTATTGATGTCTTTTGTGCTTTTTAATAAGGAATCAAGTTTAGCCTTTGTTTTTCGTAATAGTTTAAAATCATCTATAAAGAATAAATATGAATTTTTTACTCCTTTTTTGGCCAATTTATGTCCGTAGTTTGTCGTTTAAAATTTAAACGTCGTTTAAAAACAGCAGGGCCATTGATAGTACCAAAAGCAAAGGTGATAATGAGTCATCTTGGAAAATTTCATGTTTGATTTTGACATCTTCAGATTCTTCCCTATTAGCCATTAACTTCGTTCGCCAAAACTTCATTGATGTGTTCATAAATTGCTGAATGTTTCTGCTGATTCCAAAAATTATGATCCATCCAGTTAATGTAAAAGAGAATTGAATGTCTTTTTGCAGCCTATCCAAGTGTAAATATATTTGCTTCCCCCCCCCCACCCCAAATTCTTTAAAAAAATGTCAATCAATAACTGGTCCTTTGTTCCCTCAAATTTTTGGAGTATCCTTTTTTTTTCTACAGGGAGTAAATCATTTCTTTTCAAATCACTATATATTTAATTTGCATTTATGCCCGTAAGTAACTTGTATGTTGTTGGCAAACAGGTGATGGGCCTATAGTTTCTGGGCTTGTTTCCCTTCTCCTTCTCGCTCTGAAATAGGAATAACCTTCTGGTTGTTAGGCATTTTTAGTTTGTTTTCTGATGCTTCCAAAACCTTATTCATCTGGCCTGCCAATCTCAACTGTAGATTTGTCATCGATTTTAGCCAGAATCTATGGTGCTCATTTCTGCCAACCTAGCAGTTCAAAAGCATGTAAAAAATGGAAGTAGAAGAGTAGGGACCACCTTTGGTGGGAAGGTAACAGTGTTCCGTGTGCCTTTGGCGTTTAGTCATGCCGGCCACATGATCACAGAGACGTCTTCGGACAGCGCTGACTCTTTGGCTTTGAAAGAGCCAAAGCACTGCCCCCTAGAGCACCGCCCCCTAGAGTCGGGAACGACTAGCACATATGTGCGAGGGGAACCTTTACCTTTACCTTTACCTTTATGGCGCTCATCTAGTCCAGGATTTTTTGATCTTCTCTGATTGCTTTCATACCATTTCTCAGTTATCGTAATGTGTTCCATATAAGTACTTTCACTTTTTTTCAACTCGCTTAATTTACATTGGATTCCTATTGTGACTTGTATTGTTTTCTCCAAGAACCTTTCTGAAACTTTAGGATCTTTTCTTGTCAGGCTTTTCATTATTTGTCAGTCCTTTCCCATTTTCAAAAGTTTTACAGAATTGATGCCAATTTGCTCTAACCTGTTGGAATATTCATACTCACTTGTCATCTCTCTTGATCTTCTCTGCAAGAGCCATGATACTTTGTTTCAGTTGTATATCCTCTGCAATTCCTTATTCTCCAGGTAATATTTCACATACAGATTACTTTTAATTTTCTTATTATTTTCTTAATATATATATATACCATATATTCAATTATTATGTTCCATTGCATAGTCAGCCATAAATTTAGACTGGATTTGGCATTTTTATCTATCTACCATTATTATTGTTCTTATTTGTTGGAAATTTTAGAGAAGTTCTGGGGTCTTTTTCAAGGATTTTAAGAGCCTTAAGTGGCATTTAAACAGAGGCACTCTGAATGTGTTCTTCTGTTTTAAATAGACAGTTACACTTTTTAAAAATTTCATCACGTATTAAAATGCTTTAACATGCAGGTAGGTTCTATATTTTAAAATATTTTTCCATCTTGGTTTTAATGAATTAGATGCATCATGTGATGTTTTTCTTCTGCTTTATGACATTTAATGTGTGGCCATCCGTTCGCTACGGTAAATATCGAATTTGCAGCTACCAGCTGTGGTCATGACCTTTTATTAGATGTTTTTAAAAGGGGAAATACCTTTTAAACAGAAACATCCAGAATCAAAAATTGCATGTCTTAATTACCAGTTGACAGTGTTTTTGGACATGTATCCCACTTGCAAACAGCTCCACTATTTGTTGTTGAGCACTTTGCAGAATGCTGAATTAGACTAGCTTTTGTTGTGACTCAACGGGGATTTTCTTAATTTCACACACACAAAAAAACCCCTTATTATGGCAAAAGACCAGAATAAAGAAGTACAATATACAAAGGGTATGGAACAGTGGTGGGTTTCAAATTTTTTTACTACGGGTTCTGTGAGTGTGGCTTGGTGGGTGTGGCGTGGTTTGGTGGGCATGGCTTGGTGGGCGTGGCAGGGGAAGGATACTGTAAAATCTCCATTCCCACCCCACTCTAGGGGAAGGTTACTGTAAAATCCCCATTTCCTCCTGATCAGCTGGGACTTGGGAGGCAGAGAATAGATGGGATGGGGCCAGTCTGAATTTTTACTACCGGTTCTCCGAACTACTCAAAATTTCCGCTACTGGTTCTCCAGAACTGGTCAGAACCTGCTGAAACCCATCTCTGGTATGGAAGTATAAAACTATAATATAAAAAGCAAAGGAAGATACTATGTAGGGAAAACTTGACCCATCATAGGAAATCCAGGCCTAAGAAAGAATATGATTAGAATATGATTTTAATTTATATTTGTACAAAAATTCACATTTGTGCATTCATGTGTATGTGTATAAAAGTAGTACAGAGAGCAACTACGTTTAACTATAAATATATAAAGCAAGTAAGTATTAAAACTGTAGCTGAAAGGAGATGGAAACAGACACATAAGGAAATGAGGAGCAAAAATTGAGAAGAGCTTTTCTAAAGTTGCTTTATGTTTAAATTGTATATCACATATACAGAATGAACAATAACTCTCAAACAACTTTATAAACAAGTAAGGATCAGAAAGTGGGGCTCTTGTTTTACTTCTTTTTCTGTTTGTTTGCACCATAAGGAACATGTTAACTAAAATTATGAGAAAGAGGTTGGCCAATATAGAAATGGCCATAGCTCAAATAATGGCTGGGATAATACATAGCCAGAAAAAGCTTAGGAAGTAGATTTAGACTGGAGAACATGTTTAGAAGAAGCCTGAGAAGAGAGAGGAGCTAGACAATAAAAAATAACTATGTATTTAGAATATAATCAATGACTACAGTCTCATATTGTGCTAAATTATGTGCTTAGAAATGGTGTGTTGACTAAGCACATTTCTGTGGCAGCATCATAGATTATGCAGGGGTGAAATCCAGCAGGTTCTGACAGGTTCTGGAGAACCGGTAGCGGAAATTTTGAGTAGTTCGGAGAACCGGCAAATACCACCTCTGGCTGGCCCCAGAATTGGGTGGGAATGGAGATTTTGCAAAATCCTTCCCCCAGGAGTGGGGAGGAAATGGGGATTTTGAAGTATCCTTCCCCTGCCATGCCCACTAAGCCACACCACACCCACCAAGCCATGCCCATAGAACTGGTAGTAAAAAAAATTGAATTTCACCACTGAGATTATGCTGTAATGTAAATCATGATTTAGAAATCGATTGGTTCATATAACATACTAAGGTAAAACTCACATGGTATTTTGGGTTGATGTGGTAACCTAGGTACTGTTGGACATAGTAAAAGAGCTTCTAATTAAAATTGTAACCAGCCTGCTAATAGTTTTTTGCTGGGATCCAGTTGTTGTTTTTTTAACAGAAGCTTTTTTTGAACCTGGTGCCCTCCAGATGTAGTGAAACTGCAATTCTCAGAATCCCCGGCCTATACAGACAGTGACTATCCTGGCTTGGAATTTTAGGAACTTTATTTCTGGCACATATGAAGGACACCAGACTGGGGAAAATGGTTTTGTAGAGACAATATGTTTCCGAATGCCTCAGGAGGGGATGTTTCATGACCGTGGCCGTGACCGTGACCAGGAGAGAGCAGTTTCATGACCATCTTGAAATAATCTGACAGTGTTTTGAAGGAAAGAGAATGTATGACAACCTGCAAGATACATTTTATGAAAGCTCAGTTTTAAGGAGAATTGAGCAAACAAATTAGTCCCAGATCAGTAGACCAAGAGTGAGTACTGATTTTTTTTTTTTTAACAATAGGACTGGTTATTAGCAGAGAACTCTGGAAGAAAACTGAGCTGTGCCTGACAACTATTCTACAGTACCAAATGAATCATTTGAGCAAAGTTAGGCTCTGGGTTTTATTTTTGGGACTTCCCCTGTAAACGATAATTAACTCCCAAACCAAGTAAACTGGTTCTGCTTTGTTTAGGAGACTCTCTTTGATCTCCCAAATCATCTCCTGGTAGCATCACTTTCATCACCTCTGTTTATTGTTCCCATCCAGGTCATAGTGGAGCCCATTCCTTTGGAAACTCCTGCCCTTGATGAGAAGGTGCTAGTGAAAGTGGAGGAGAACCTGGACCTTGACGAAGAAGCAGCTGCTCTGATGGTTTTAATGGATGGCGGAGTGAAGGAAGAGGCAACTCCACCGGAGAAGTCTTCTCCGGAGAAGGAATCTGTGGAGGCCGATCTGCAAGAAGACGGAGAGAGGCTACTGAAGAAGGAAGCCCAGTTATCTCCCAACCTGGTGTCTGTTTCTCTTGAGGGTCAGCCGCAGAAGGGCAAGAAGCCTAAAGTCTTGGAGCTTCCTTCATTGCCAACTCAAGAAAAAGTGAATGCAGCTGTTAACAGCCTCCTGGCACCGGGTGGGACGGGAAGCACCTTGACACCAACCACGGTTATTTCCTCCCATGCACTGGTGAGACCATATTTTTCAGCAGGTCTTACTGGATTTCGATCCATTCCCATGAGTTAGGGATGCAACTGGGGATCCCTTTCCGAAGTTAAAGGGATCTGGGTTTTTTTTTGTGGATACATCGAATTTGAACGGGATGCTTACTGTTTCCTTGGAGTGCCAAGCAGAAAAACAGACAGACCTATCACACTGTTTCTTGGGATTGGGCAGAGATTAGAAGTAGTATTTAAGACACAGAAAATAAATGCAAAGTAATGAGTAAAAGGAATTAAAGGCAGGAGATAACAGGGAAGAAAAGAACATATAACTAATTCTAATTTACTATTCACTTTTGGGGTGGTGGGGTGTGTGCCTTTGAGTCAGTGTTGACTCCTGGCGAGTGCCTGAATATGTCCTGCAGTATTCTTGGCAAGATTTCAGAAGTGAGTTTGCCTTTGCCTCCCTCCTAAAGTTGAGAGCAGTCCAAGGTCACCCAACTGGCTTTTTTGTCTAAGGCAGGATTAAAAACTCACAGTCTCATGTTTTCTATCCCAATAACTACTGCACCAAACTGCTCCATCCATTCACTACACCTCTTCCTACTGTTCCTTCCTTACAGTCTATCTTTGCTTCCACCACATCCATGTCCTGATTCCTACATTGTCTTGTTCTTTAAACTTCTCAGCTTTCTCTTTTTGAGAACCTCATCAGTTCTGTCTCACCCTGAATTTCAGACCCTTTCCTCTTGATCCAGTCACTCTTCTTGGGCAGATCTCTCTTAATCCCACCTGCCTATCAAAATGCCCACCCCCTTCCCCCTACTGTAACTTTCTCTACCTAGCTCTATGGTTTCTCTCTCCTATCATCGCCACCATACATATAGCCGTCTGTCTACTATCCACGTCATGGCTAGTGCTTGGCGTATAATGTGCGGTTTGGCGTAGTTATTTAAATTACCTGGCTGCTTAGAGAGGCATGCCAAACTGAGGGAGAGGTGTTTTTCTATTGAAATTACAACAAGAATATCGGTCTCTTCTCAGAAATTAAGAGAGCCCTATTCCTGTGGCAAAAACTTTTTCAAAAACATTACATGAATTCCATTCCCCATAAGAAGAGAAAAAGCCCACTTCACGGGTGATTCAGCTCGCATATGGTAAGCACTCAGTGAACATACAGAAATAATACAAATGAATACCTTGTTTTACCTTACCCTGCTACATGTTGAGAAAAGTGATTGATGGTTGGTTTTACCATTGATAGACAATACTGGGTAGGTGGAAAAGGGTAGCAGGGAACCCACCAATCATTGCCCTGAAGCAACCTCACATTAAATTGCAGGTAGGCTTTGAAGGAAACATGTCAACATACTTCCAATGCAGGAATGGTAGGAAAGCACATTAATATAGCTGATTCATGCTCTCTATGTGACCAAACCACCTCATTGTACTTCTTTAGCACGGGCACTTAACTTTTGCATTCCTCATACATCCTTTCATCGCTCGTTCATTCCCAGCCGTACCTCTTTTTGTACACTTGCACACTTCTTATGTATGTTATTTTCCACTCCATTCAAAATACTATTATATTTCTTCTGACATTTCCAACACTCATATAATAGAGTGTGCAGAATCATGCTTTTGTACATTGAGATAAACATTCGTTTCTTGCAGCTGACCATATATTTCCCATTACTTTTCCAAAAGGATGGGCATATCTTAAAAAACTTCCATCCATTTCCCCATATTGATAAACATTCACTAAATGTATGCATTTATCTAGTTGCTCTTTTTGCCCTTTATGTATTAATTGCATATGTTTATTCCATTGTCTCTACATCACATACCATGTAACACCGTGATAGCGAATCGATGACACGTGTGCCAGAGGTGGCACGCAGCGCCCTCTCTGATGTCACACAAGCCATCGCCCCAGTTCAGCTCTGCTGTGCATGCGCACGCACCTCCTGCTGGCCAGCTGGTCTTCGGGTCTCTGCTGCACATGCATGGGGCGAACGTGCATGCGCAGGGGGCGGGATGCACGCATGCATGTGTGGTGGCAGAGCGCATGTAGGAGCCTGTGCACGCATGCGTGGGGGGGCAGGGCACGTGCAGTGGGGACCGCATGCGCATTGCATTTTGGGGGTTCGGGCGACGCATGCGCGCTTTGGGGACTCAGTCCAGAAAAAGTTAGCCATCACTGATGTAACATAATTACAAATTGTTCAGGTTCTCAGCCAGTAAATGGAATTATCTACATACAAAAGGACATGCTTATTCACTTCTCTGACTAGCACATTTCTAATATCACCACAACGATTCCTTATTTATTAACTTATTGCATTTTCTGACCCACTTTCCCTGCCACCACACCGCCACTGGCTCCAGGTACAACATCAGATATTCTCTTGCTCTGTTCTTGGTGTTGGGATGATTCAGGAAGCACTTAATATATTTTACTTGTATGCCACTCGTGTTGCATTCAGCAATCTTCCTCCACCCTACATTCATAGAAAACATTCCACACTTGGCACTTGTTTAATCTTACGTTTTTTTCTCAATTAATACATTTGAGTTAGACTTTCTCATGTTCATATATTTATCAGGGATCTGCCCAACAGCAAAAACCTGAATCCTCATGTTTAATGTGCATTCCTCCTAAATTAGCAAAGTGTATGTTGACAAAACTGCACTCTTGTGCCAGCATGCTGACAAAATTGCATTCGGTGCCAGCAAATGGTGCTGTCCTTACAGCTTTAATGTGGGACACTTTAAAGGCATCAATTGACCCATTTTCTGGTTTTGTTTTTCCTTCTAGTAGCCAGCATTACATACCTGAAGGTGGGGGGGAACCCTACAATCACTTTCCTTAAAGTGTGCATTGATTGGCAACTTGAGTTACTTTTCAAGTTCCCCAAGTGGTAACTCACTGCTGTAGTGTAGATCACTTGTGAAGCGAATTCTAGGGGTCTTCTAGAATAGCAGAACAACCATGGCCCCTACTCAAAAAAAAAGAAAAAAAAGAAAAAAGAATGCCAAGGAAACAGGTTGCACGTGAGAAGCAGTGCAGGCTTAGGCATGTTGGAACAGTTTTTTCTGGTTCCATCTTGTGCAGCCTGCCAATTAGACAGTTTAAAAAAACCCAAGCTTTTAATTTATGCAATTATCTTTTACTCTCTCTACATGTTATACTCTATACATCTTTATCTCATCCCCATTTATGACACAATAATTCTCAGCAATTTCTCTTACCCAGCCTCTTTCAGTTCATAACTCCACCAAGCATTTTTTTTCATACTTTCCCTTCTATACACTTTGGAATGCAACGTTTTCTCTCTCTCTCTTCCAAGCAGTTTTCATGCCCTCTTTCCTAATGTCTCCTTTTTATTTGTTCTGTTGGGAGGCTAAGCTAATATTTTTCATACATTTTTTTCATATCATTTACTTTTCCTGCAGTTCTTTCATCGGCTTTGTTTCCTTCTGTGTACATTTTCTCCAAGATCTACTCTTAATAATGATCACTATCTTAAGTCTTTCCTCAGGTTTTTTGATTTTTTCCTTTTTTCATGATAGTTATAATACTACATAGGTCTTTTAAACAGATGCTCACCAGTTATCTTTCTTATTTATTCCTGGGTCTCCTAACAGTTTAATCACATTTTGTACTCTCATTTGATTTCTATCTATCCACATATCCATGTCCCCCTCAGAATAATTCCCCTCCCATCACACCCATTCAGAATGTTGCACAATTTTCCTCAAACTCATCCCTGATTCTTTTCTATTGCTTTCCAAATCAGTGGAGGATAAGATGTCTCTTTCATATTGTGAATTCCTGATTTCACAGATCTCCAAAAGAGTGTAAAAGGGGCATCAATTCATTCTTCCGGACGTACACTTTAGCCATGTTGTTCATTATTAAGCCTACACTTTCATATAACCTGCATGTTTGCAGCAAGACCAGATCACCTTCATATCCATTACATCCTTCCCATTTCTCTTGGTTTCATACAAAAAGTGTATCAGGTTTTTCTTTCATTCATTTCATAACACTTTTTATCATTTACTTCTCTTACATGCCAAGTTGAAATCTTCTATGTGCCATTGACCACATATTGCAAGTAAATTCCATCAAGCCAGTTTTGGGTGAACTGTTATACCCCATTTAGAGGCTCAGTGGATTGGATTGGTGTGAAAAACTTATAAATTAGGGGGGAAAAGTGATTACTATATGAATACAAAAATATTGACCACTGCCACTAATCAAGGCATTCACACAATACTTCTTAGTAAGATACTTACTGTACTGCATCTGGGCCACCCATAGTATTGCTTGCTGAGAGGAAAGTTTGGCAATAGTTTAACCAGTATACCATGTGTGCAGCCAAAACCCATTTTTATCCCCAGACATGTTCATGTTCTTCTCTGCAAGCTTGGCAATCTTGCAAGTCAGCACACATAAAAAGTTTATACGGTGTGACATTCTCTTGTTTTAACAGCAGGTTCCACTGAGTTTTAAGCTGTTCCCCAAACCTGGGATAGAACGTGGAAGTGCTTTCCAAATTGCAAGGAGCAAACCTGATTTAAATAGATTGCTTAAAATTTCTTTGAATATTATTATTATTATTATTATTATTATTATTATTATTATTATTATTTCATCATTATTATTAATATCTAAAAGCTATACCCATATAGTAGGACAACTAGGGCCTTCAGGATCAGCTCTGCTCCCTGAATTCCAGCAATTGATTTTTTTACTTACTAGACCAGACACAAGAGAAAGCTGAGGAGATAATTCTGGATATTAGAAAGAAGGCTCTGATAGTTTAGGTGAAAATTTATAGTTTTATGGCCTGACACTATTGGGGAAGTCCTTTCACTGATACTTTTACCTAGATGTTTCTGAAAAGGCTTTTTAAATGGCCATTATGGTTAGAAAAGCCCAACTTCATTTAATATTGGTGACTTTTGAAAGTTGATGTTTACTGACAATTGTGCATACCTTACCTGCTGAGGTGGAGATTGGAAAAATGGTTTGCCAAGTTCCAAAAATAGCTTGCAGCTGAATGATAAATCTGAGTGTTGCAATGGTTATGTCTGTCAAATAATAATGCATAATTTAAAAAAGTATGTCTCTTCAATAAAAATCGTGATTTTAAAAATACATATAACCAGATAAACACCAAAGTAGAAGATTATAAGATTGTCCACAGCATTGATGCTTCTCTGTATGCAAAGAAGAAAAATATCTCTTTAATACCTGTGGAAAAATGAGAATATTTGCAAGGGAAGAGTGCCAACTCTCTCCTTCAAAATCTTTCCTTGTCTTCTTCGTGAGAACCAAACTTGGAAAAAATGGCCAATGCAATAAGTGGCTTTTTGAAGAATTGGGATGTTGCTAGTTTTCCTTTTTTAAAATTTTGTTGTTGTTTTATTCTGATTTTCTTTGCAGACTCCAGTACTGCTCACCCCAAGTTCCTTGCCACCCACCATCCATTTCTGGAGTACCCTGAGCCCCATTGCACCACGTAGCCCAGCCAAGCTTTCCTTCCAGGTATGGTTTGAAATGTACATCATCTGTGAGGGGAGAGAAAGGGTGTCTGTGAGGGGAAGGTAAAACTTGAGATTGGGATCACTAATAGTGGATGGATTTGAAGTCATAATATCCTGAGAGAGTGGAAGAATAGTCAAGCTTGGCTCATAAAAGGAATACATGAAGGCTGTATGTGTTTGGGATGTTTGCAGGCCTTGTTAGCAAGTATGGAATGAAGAATTAGTTTCGATTGGGAATGAACTTGGCTACGTTTTTGGTATGAGGCATATTCTACCAGATACCTATACATATATAAACATTTTACATAAGTACTTCAGTAAAATAAAGTCATATTTCATTATAATCATCCATAGTTGATCTATGTCAAGAAGTGATGTGTTCATAAGTTACTAATTATATCAGTTTTGCTAACCAATTGAGTAATTGGAGCTGATATCTTTCCAATGCTGAATGAATCTTACAGTATAAGTAAGACATGAGCAATCCACTTTTTTGGGTCCAGATATCAGCTTCCATGCAATTGGAATGTAATTCAAGAGGATACGAACATCCTAAAATAAACTTGATGGACCTCTTTGTATGTTATTTTTAATTGAGTCAAGCGTGGACCTAATGTACAATACAAATTTGACACTCTGTTCAACAGTGGGATTACAAATATTAGTTTCAGCTCCCAATAGTCCTAACTTTGTTCTGAATTAATTTAATTTAATTTAATAATTTAATTTAGCACTGCCTAATTACAAATGACTCTGGGCAGCTCACAAATTAAAAAATTATTTAAAAAAACTAGCAAGAGATAAGAAAGTAGATAAAAGCGTAGGGTGTCAAATCTAGCCAACAACAAAAAAACTTGAAAGGGGTTCCAGTCTTCCTAACTTCAGGCCTGGGAGAACAGCCAGGTCTTCAAGGCTCCTGCTTTTTTTTTTACTTTTAAGAATGTATTTTGTTGGAAAGCCAATGTTTGTGTATGTGGCATGTATGTGTGGAGATTTGGAATAAGGAAAGGAGAAGATGGAGCATTTCAACACTCACGCTTCAAATCATGCCCTTTCAAAATTGTTTTTTCATAGGCTACGCAATCATTAAGCAGATCCTAAGCTTTTCCCTCTTTCTCTCTTTTCAGTTTCCCAGTAATTCTAGCTCACAGGTTCACATCCCGTCACTCAGTGTGGATGGACTCTCCACTCCTGTAGTCCTTTCTCCTGGTCCCCAGAAGCCATAATCTTTCCTCTGCATCACCATATTCTCTACTCCTGCCAAAGAACTGGCTTGAGTCTCTTTTCAAGCACTTGGGTCTACTTCAGCTAGACAGCTATGTGTCCCTTCGTTAACTGGAAGAACCCTTTGATGATTCAAGCCGCGTCAGCTTGAAGAATGAAAATGGCATAGCAAGCAGATTCATCCATTAATCTTTGATCTGCCAGAATTTTTCTTTGAAACCAAATGGTGTTTTGCTGGTATCAAGCACTTGATGTGTCGCACTTGCTTCTTGTTGCAAAATTCAGGCAGCCCTCAAATATGTCTGTGAGGGCAATGAGAATATAAGCTTTATTTGGTCTCCTCTCCAAGAGGCTGCCCTTATTTGACACTGTTGTGGCAATATGGCTTTCTTTATCTGTCCCCTGTGGTGGTAGTCACTTTTAATAACAGTTCATCTGATGGTCCAAGGTCAAGAAGGCTACCAATCTTCATCCACTTTGCAAGATAAATCAAGTCCTTCACTTCATCTCTACCTTTTTTTTTCCTGGCTTACTTTTAGCATAGTTATTATTAGAGAAGTAAGTAGATCTTGCCAGCCAGGTTCATTTTAGGAGTAGAAACCAGTGCCAGTCCTATTTGTTTTGTCTATATATATGGACAACACGTTGATATGCAAGCCATTTTTGTTTCGGCAGGATATACAGTCATAAGGAATTTTGGTCAGCTTTGATCTTGGATGGATAGGTGTGGGAGTGCCACATGCAACATCGGTTGCAAGTGAACAAAGTAGAGAAGAGGAAGCACTGTTGATCATGTTTCTTCCAAGAATACTGATAAGTCATTGTTGTATTTGATTTGGTTTCATAGAGGGGGAAAAAAAAACCGAGATGTGTTTGCTGTGCAACACAGTAGGAATAAACTGTCAGCCATCTTCTATTTGACCAGCAAAAGCAACAGGATCAGTTGCATTTAGTTTAAACTCAGTTAATTGTGTGTTTTTTGTTTTTTTTTTACTCACTGAAGTTGGAATGTTTCTGGTATTTCTTTGGGAGAAAAATTCTCCATCGGACACCAAGATTTTAGCTGGGGAGGTTTTGATCATTTTCTCCCATTGGTCAAAAGTCACCGATTCGTCAACGTGGAGACCAGAGAATGAAGTCTGCTTACTGAATTCAAGACCTAATTTTTTTTGTAGCAGAATGGTTTCCTTAATTTATTTCCTGGCGATCAGAGGTCATGACAGAAATGGCCAAAGGGGAAGTCTTAACCCTCTCTATTTTTGACTGCTTTTTATGGTTTCGTTTCTGTCATCGTAAAAGAAATATCAGGCATCAGCTATTATGGTGGAAAATGTTCATTACAGATTGATCCTGATCTCACATACCTCTCCAGTTTTCTTCCAGCTCTTGAGTCATCCTGGAAACAGCAATGACAAATCCACCATCTTACAATCTCTTCAATTCCTGGAGCCAAAAAAGCTTTTTTTAATGGAAACAGTGGAAATGGTATATTTCTATAGTTCCACATTTTATTTCAAAGGCATCATAAAGGGACTCTGCAAAGGGCTGTGTCTCTTTGTCAGCGGGTTTATTAGAACTCATATATTCAGATGACAAGAATTTCATCACTAGTTTATTGTGGGTTTTTTTGGAGGTTATCCATAAGTATTTGTTAATGCCGCAAAAGATATGCTATTTCAGAGGTATCAGCCAATTCTTAATCAGAGTTCCTGGCACCTTCTATTTTTTCACAGAGTATCTATATCTATATATCACAATTTTATCTATTGTCAAGAGAGTTGTATTAAGAGAAAAGGAGACGGTTCAGATCTATATTTATCTTTTCGTCTGTCCATTTTGATAGCTATTTTTTAAACCACAGGATGGGAATGAGAGAAGATTCTTTTAAAGAGAAGTTGGAAAGCATTTGGCTCTCTAATTGTTTGTATGTACCTGTGTACAAATTTTGAAGTGAAAAGAAGATAAGGGCATAGTGTGGAGAAATGTGATTTTGAAATTATTCCCAGTAGAGTTTTCAATGGAACTTCAATAATGATGGACCAGGTTCTCTATAAGAGTAGTTTCCAACTGTGATAGTTGAAGATCTCAAGTCTTAGTCCAAACTATTGAAAAGACACCAGTCTGAAGCCTTTTCCAGGATGTATTTGGAGAGTGTGCGGTCCCATAGACACTATCTTGCCTTGTGCTGAAGGTGTTCCCTGCAATGTCCCTTGGAATCCTTGGTATCGTTCCAGGAATACTAACAGCTACTGAACAGTTCCTTAGGATATGGATAATGAAAGTGGGCTCTGTAAGAGCAAATCAACACATTAATACCAATAAGAAGGATCAAAGCAGACATTTGATGAGAAGGTCAGGCCAGACTCTGAACTTGGGTATTAGAAAATCTATCATTGGAGAATGACTTCACTAAAATTAGTGATCACTGGGATTTAGATTAGAATGTCAGAAAATCTGTGGGTTAAAATCTTGAATATGAATCAGTCATGATGAAAATGGACAGCAGGGTAAAGGTAAGCTAAGAAAGCAAAAGAGGATTGTGCCTGAATTTTTTGCAACTAACAGGCTTACCTCCTCACAATTTGTACTGTACTCCCAAGTGATTTTTCTATGCTCTATCAGAAGTCTCATTCAGTATGTAAAACTTTAATTAAATTACCTGGGAAACTGACTGCAGAGAGGTGAACTAAGAGCAGGTTTCACCATCTAGTTGCCAACTTGCTTTTAACTCACTCCCTGCTCCAACTTTTCTATGTGATTGGTGTAGAAGTGAGTTTAAAAGATATGCTACATTTATGCCCAATGGAGCGCTGTTGTAATTTTGAAGTGATGGGCTAGAATACGATTTCATAGGGAATTAAGCAAGTCTACCTGGATTTATTCTGGCAAGAAAGAGATGAAACTGAGTAGGAGATTCAAGATTTAATCAATATTTTAGATATCGGATTTGGGAAGGCTTCAAAAACAAACGTTTATAGCCAGAAAAATATGGTTTATTTTTAATCATCCTATTCTGTAGCATTAATAATAATGATGATTATATTTTTGTTGCACTTCCATATTGCCTCCTCCTGGGAGAAATCTAAGTGCTTTATAAGAGGTGGTTTACAGTTTTATTTAATAAATTAGGCACTTTGTGTAATCAGCAATCTGCAAAACAATCAGGTACAATTCATGGGTGTTACCATTCAAATCATGTGTAAATCATATGTGATTTGTGTATAAGTAAACTGTGCTTTAGAGTAAACTGAGCACAGCATGCATGTGTGTGGGTGTGGGTATATGGGTATGTATGTGAGTGAGTGTGTACACATAACACACACACACACACATATACAGTTGCAAGAAAAAGTATGTGAACCCCTTGGGATTACGTGGAGTTTTGCATGAATTGGTCATAAAATGTGCTCTGAACTTCATCTAAGTCACAACAATAGAACAACACAGTCTGCTTAAAATAATACTACACAAACATTTGATGTTGCCATGGTTTAATTGAACATAACATGTAAACATTCACAGTGCAGGGAGGAAAAAGTATGTGAACCTTTGGACTTAATAACTGGTTGACCCTCCTTTGGCAGCAATAAATTCAACCAAACGTTTTCTGTAGTTGCAGATCAGACCTGCACAACGATCTGGAGTAATTTTGGACCACTCCTCTTCACAAAACTGTTTCAGTGTAGCAATATTCTTGGGATGTCTAGTGTGAATCGCTCTCTTAAGGTCATGCCACAGCATTTCAATCGGGTTGAGGTCAGGACTCTGACTGGGCCACTCCAGAAGGCGTATTCTGTGCTGTTGAAGCCATTTTTTTGTTGAATTACTTGTATGCTTTGGGTCATTGTCCTGTTGCATCACCCATCCTCTGCGGAGCTTCAGTTGGCGGACAGATGGTCATACGTTTTCCTGCAAAATGTCTTGATAAACTCTGGAATTCATTTTCCCATCAGTGACAACAATCCGTCCAGGCCCTGAGGCAGCAAAGCAGCCCCAAACCATGATGCTCCCTCCGCCATGTTTTACAGTGGGGAAGAGGTTTTGATGTTGGTGTGCTGTGCCTTTTTTTCTCCCCACATAGTGTTGTGTGTTCTTCCCAAACAACTCAATTTTGGTTTCATCTGTCCACAGTATATTTTGCCAGTAGTGCTATGGAACATCCAGGTGCTCTTTTGCAAACTTCAAACGTGCTGCAATATTTTTTTGGGACAGCAATGGCTTCCTCCATGGTGTCCTCCCATGTACTCCATTCTTGTTTAATGTTTTCCTCATTGTAGATGTGTCAACAAAAATGTTAGCATGTGCCAGAGATTTCTCTAGGTCTTTAGCTGACATTCTAGGATTCTTCTTTACCTCATGAAGCATTCTGCGCTGTGCTCTTGCAGTCATTTTTACAGGACAACCACACCTAGGGAGAGTAGCAACAGTGCTAAACTTTCTCCATTTGTAGGCAGTCTGTCTTACTGTAGACACATGAACATCAAGGCTTTTGGAGATACTTTTGTAACCTTTTCCAGCTTCATGCAAGCCAACAATTCTTGATCGTAGGTCTTCTGAGAGCTCTTTTCTGCAAGGCATGGTTCACATCAGACAGTGCTGCTTGAAACCAGTAAACCCAAAACAGGTGTGTATTTTTAAAGGGCAGGACAGCTGTCAGCAACATATCCAGTATCATCACACTGATTGGAGTCAAGGTTGGCTCACTCCTGGCTCCAATTAGCTCTTGGAGAAGTCATTAGGCTAGGAGCTCACATACTTTTTCCTCCCTGCACTGTGAATGTTTACATGTTATGTTCAATTAAACCATGGCAACATCAAATGTTTGTGTAGTATTATTTTAAGCAGACTGTGTTTTTCTATTGTTGTGACTTAGATGAAGTTCAGAGCACATTTTATGACCAATTCATGCAAAACTCCACGTAATCCCAAGGGGTTCACATACTTTTTCTTGCAACTGTACATATACACACATGCGTGCTATACTCATATATTCAGCAAACAGATGGAAAGGAAGACAATATTGTGGCTGAGCACAAAGCATTCAAGCTGATGTGTAAAAAATGAACAGAGTTATTTTGTGGCACATTTATGTAATGCCACTAGTACATCAAGAGTAAGTATTTGCATTGTAATGGATCTGCAGTGTACTTTCATACAATAACCTTCAGTTTTATTTTAGCCTTCCTACATGCAAGCCATGGGTAAACCATGAGTAGCTATCAGTAAAATTGCAAACATTGTTTCTTGTAAACTGTAAGTGAAATGTGGTTATACTTTGAGTACACCATATGCAAACAATGAATAAGTCATGTAAGCCATTATTGACCTATGGTCAAGCCATGTGGAAGCCGATTCAAATGTTTAAACCCTTTGGGGTATGGTTGCTTTCTTAAGTCATTGGCTTTCCACATTAAACCTCTGTTTTTCTCATGCAGGTGCCATTGGGCTTGCCCAGTTTTATTGAGAGCACCCAGCAAAGTAGCTTTACAAGTATCTTGTCTAGGACCAATGGCTGCTTCGGCACTCTCCATCCTGAAGCTTGGTCTTCAGGGTTAATTGCTTTAAAGTCCTAATAGGGCTTAGGAGGGTGTGGCTCCCAGAGCCAAACAGTAGCACTACGGTCCTAGTCTTTCCTCACTTCAACTTGTGCAGCTTTCAGAAACTTTGTGCTAGAGTAAGACAATATTTTGTAGCCATATATTATTGCTGACACATACAACAAAGGTATCCCTGCTATGGCAGCATGTTCAAGGAGCAATTGCAAAAGGACTATTAAAGAAGATTGCAAACATTTTACACACACACACACACACACACACAGAGAGAGAGAGAGAGAGAGAGAGAGAAGCACATAGACACACAGAGATATATAATAAAGGTATATATATTCAGAATACAGACATAGATATATATTTATATTCCTTTCATAAGTAACTCTTCAGGATTCATAGGGCTATGGATTCCTTTATCTTCAAAAAACAAAAAAAAAGGGAAAACAGGTAATTTAGATAATTTACTCTGAAAGTGCTTAATATCTTTCAAATAACATTAATACAAATAATTATAAGTTGATAGTATTCTTACCACAAAAGTAAATTAATCTTAAATGGGGATCTTTCATGATCTGCATTTTTAAGTCCATTGAAATCCATGGGTTTGCTTCCAAAATTTTTAATAGAACTGGGTGAAGGCAGTAGGTGTGAATCCCTTTATATCTTCCTCATGGTGAAAAGATGAAGTACTTTAATAAATTGTGTACTGTATCTGCTTGGCAAAATGTCAAATGAGAGAGAAGCAGCAGTATCCTTAAAATA